TGACCATGTGCAAGACTTTTCTTGTTGTTGTTTATCCTAATGGAAAATTAGTTCATTATAGTAAATTAGATAATTATGTTTTTCTGGTAAATATTCCTATTTATAGGAAAGGCACCATTTCCTTTTCCTGTTGTATTATGAGCTATTGAGTTTCGTTAAAACCTAGTGACTCAGCTCCCATAATTTTTCCCTTTGTCTGATGTGTCTTCTCAAGTAGACCCATTACATGACATTGTTTCACTGGGTTTCACAAGTGTTGATTTTTCATTTACGTATTTGACTTCAGGATAATGTGTTGGGAATGGATTTTATAACTAAATCTCCTCTGTTGTCCAAGAGGTTAAGAGCAAGTCAAATGAAATGCTGGTAGTAAAATAGGATGAACTACCTATTTTGGAAGCGGAGGCAGTCACCTGTGTGCAGTGAGGGATACTGTGATTCCTTGATTTCCTGGATTGTCAGTGAGGTGTAAAGGATCCTAACAAATTTCCTGTCTGTTTTTCCGTATCGAATCTCTCCAATTTGAAAGCGTTATAATGGAATGATTCACAACTTTTAAATAACAAAAACACATTGGCATGATGGGTCCCTTTTAACATTTATCAAATTATTATTGACATGACCAGATATCCTATCTTCAGAGATAGGATATCATAAGGTAATATTTTTTATCTTGTCTTGATAGGTCAAAATACCCAAAGGAATATGTATAATGGAACTGTTTTTGAAATATATTTTCTTATATTCTGAGCTATTGTCTCTCAGCAAGTCATGTTTGAGATATAAGGGTTAAGCTTTCATCTCTGTCCCACAGGCATTTAATAAGACTAACAAGACCCATACCTAGGTAACTAGTTAGAGCATTGTGTGATTAGTAAGCAAAATAACAATTATGTATCTATTTATTTATTTATTTATTTATTTATTTATTTTTAATTGGGGAATTGGAGGATGGGAACAGCACTGAGGAATTGGGGGAAGGGGAACAGACAAGTTGCTGTCCTTTTGTTCTTCAATCTAGTTGTGGAGGACGTTGCTTCACTGGCCCAAGTTGGCACCATCATTGCGCTCTTCCTGGGCGAGGCAGATCAGTCGCCGGATTCTGGATGGCTGCTCACTGCGGCTGCTGGCCGCTCACGCTGGCTGCTGGCTACACACAGTAGCCCGTGGCAACCCACTGCAGCCTACACCGTCACCGGCGACTCATGGCAGCCCAGCTCCAGGTTGAGCTGTTGTTCAGCATCTTAGCTGTAGAGGGCAGTGTCACTGGCCCTCATATGTGGGATCTGAACCCAGGCCCTCTGGCATTCCAAGCCAGCTCTTAACCAACACACCACTTGGCCGGCCCCAACAATTATGTATTTAAATCTATAAACTTCTGATGAAATATGAGAATATGAGAAATATGAAATACTAATTGTTACTATTTTTAAGTGCCTACTGTATGTCAGGAATCTTCTGAGTCTTCTATAATTGTTGTCTTGTTTACACTTCACCAGGACTCTATGAGGTAGAAATAATTTTTCTTAATTTCTTAGACATGAGGTCATTGACGTTCAGATAGAATGAAGTCACATAGTCAGTAGGGAAGGTGGTTCTCTCCTTCTCTCCTAGAAGGTATGAGGAATAATGATTCCATGTCACTCCTCATGCTGTTTCATTTGTGTAGATATGCTTTCTCCCTTGTCAGCTTGGCCAACTCTTGCTCATACTTAAATGCCCAGTCCAGATACCAAATCATCTCTAATATCTGTCTTGATATCTACCACATTCAAAAGGAATTCTTCCCTCCTTTTTGCTCCAAAATATGCCTGTGATCTAGGATATCACACTTTATCATAATTGGTTTATCTCTTTTTCCAGTCTTTCTATATATCCCCATGAGGTTAGAGACTGTCTTATTCATATTTATAAATAGGATGCCTAGCAATTGCCCTAAATGAATGTTAGTGGAGTGAAGGTGGGATTTATAAAAAACATGGGGCATTTACTCACACGACATCCTATAGATAATCTAGATGGATGGAAAAGAGAAGAAAGAGCACTCAGCAATGGAGGCATGCTTGAATAGGAGTATATTTTGGCTTTTGTTGGAATAAATGACTCACCTGAGAGAGCAGAGAAAATAGCACTTCTCTGATAGAATGAGGACAATTTAAGGATATTTTTGAATTTATACAAAGAGAGTGGATGCGTATCATCACAAAGTTGGGACAAAGGTGTGAACAAATTTCTAGGTTTTGTAAATATTATTTGGCTGGGGATGGACGGAGTGATAAGAAGAGGAAAGAAAATGTAGGTGTGGTTAAAGTCTAGGGTGAGAGATAAATGCCTGTCTAGTTTGGTGACAGCAAATGTCTATTGATGCAATAGATATTTCAAAGGGTCAACCAGGACCACTTACAAAATGGGCAGTAGAGGTATAAGAGATCTCATCATTAAAGAGGACTCATAACTTCATATTTTTTCAATTCAATTTTTCAATTGCAACATAGACAATTTACAATTAGATGCTAAAAGTGAAATGGTAATAATTTGTAATTTAAAAAATACATAGCAAGAAATACCCCACCATAAGCAAAGTAAAAAGATAAATGGCTAGATGAAAAAAAAAACCTTGCAATTTATACCAAAGACAAAGGGTTAATGGCCTTAATATATAAAGCACTTCAAAAGTTAGATTAAATAAAAGGCCAAAGCTCTCATGGGAAAATAACGCAAATCTTTCTTTACCATATAAAGATACCCAATCTCGTACAGAAGAGGTGAAATGAAATTAAATGGCATACCACTTCTCACCTGTAAGATTGTCGAAAATTCAAAATTTGACAACGTTCTCTGATAGTGAGACTATGTAGGGACAGGCATGCTCACACCTTTCCCATGAAGATTTGACAATAACTAGCAGCATAATTCTTCGGCTCAACTATCCCAATTCTATAAATTATCCAAAAGCTCCTCAGGCAAAAAAAATATGAAAAAATGTTTCACAAGATTATTCATCACAGTGCTATTTGTAAAAACAAAACAAAACAAAACAGAAAAAAACCACTAGACACAATCGGAGGGCCCTTCAATGGGGTACTGGTGAATAAACTGTTGTGCATTCACATAATGGAATAATATTCAGTTGTAAAAAGGGATAAGGAGTATCTCTATATGCTACTACGAGGTGATCTCCAGGATATAGTATTAAGAGATGATAAAGCAGCTAGGGAAAACGTGTGAATAGTTCTACAATGTGTCTAAAAGACTGCGGAAACAAATACAGAAAATGTATTTGCTTACATTACGTTATTTTCTTAAATAATGGAAGAATAGAGAAAGAGGAGATGAGAAAACACAAAAGGGGGCTTACACATCCAGCCAAGATGGAGTAACAGGGACTGGATTTACCCTTCTGCCTGAAACAACTACAAAAACGGGCAAAATAAATGAAACAGTGGTTTTTAGGCATAGGCTGTCAGGCAGAGAACACTGGTGCCTCAGAGAGGGGAAACAAATGAAGTGATCCCTAGGATTGCCTCGGTTTATTTCTTGAAGAGAGTTTTCAGGGTGCAGCTCTGACAGGGAAAGCCAGGGAGAGCTTGGTAATCATCCTGCCTTGAGGTGACGGAGCTGGGATACAGGAGGCTGACAGCTAGAACGCACAGGGCAGGATACCAGAGAGAAGAGAACTGCACAGAGATCTGCACAAGCTCTACCTGAGTACTGATCAGTGCTGTGTGGGAGGAAACTGTCCAGGACGGACAAAGACCCTCCCCCAACCCCATAAAAGGCAGAAGAAAGAATCCTTGGAGCTGACTTTCATGTTCTCATGAGCTGGGAATGAAAAATCTTGACATTCATGAGTTACTGGTTAGAGTACTCTAAAGAGAACCGAATCAGAAGTGGGGCAGATTTCTTCCTAGAGTGAAGGCTGTTCCAGGTTCCAGTCCCACCTCACACAGCAAGTCTTGAAAGGATCAAATTGTTAAGTAACTTAATTGCCTCCCAGAACAGGTTTTCCAAAATATTTTTCTCTGATTTTTACTCATGAATTTCTGAGAATATCTATTTTGTCTAATTACTGATGAGACTGCCAGTGACACCTAAGCTGTGACTGAGACGGCTCAACTTCTACTGGAAAATTGACGAAGCCATGCTGTCTGTCCCACAGGTGTAGGTAAAAACCAATTGTCCAAACTGTTTAGAAATTTTAAAGAAGAGCACCATCATGCTGAATTTTCCATACAGGAAAATGGTGGTTTATTTTGGCGTAGAGTTATAACATAGAGAAATTTGGGGAATAAGAATTATACAGGAGACTCTTCTTTGGACAATTTAGAGAAAGACGATAAAAATCTGTAATGTACAAATACTGAAATCCAAATTCATTTAATGGAGCTTGATGATCTGGTGCCCAAAAATTAAGGAGAATTTGGGGGAGTTGGTCCGTACAACAGTTGGTATATTACTGCAAATTCACACTTGGATGAGAGAGAGACCCAGAAAGAGTAGAATTTGGATTGAGGCCAAAATCTGCTCGCAGTCAGTGGGCCTGTTGTGGGCTCATTAAAAGCACGAGACCCAACTCAGGTGAGAAACATGAGCCTGTCCTAACGGTCAGCACAAAAGGAGGGTCTGCATCTGTGAGGACAGAGGTAAATGGAGATGGTGGTTGCAGCGCCAGGGGCTCAGCAGGAAGAGGAGGTGCAGCACATGGGGCGGGGCAGGTGGCGATGACAAAGGTGGGGCCATAGCAAGTGGTGTGGCAGGACACCTGGCCACAGCCTGGGCAGAGACAGCAGCAGGGGCGGCAGCAGCTGGACCCACAGCAGCTGGACCCACAGCAGCTAGACCCACAGCAGCTGGAACCACAGCAAGAGAGGTGGCAGCAGCAGCTAGAGATGCAGCAACTGGGGCGACAGCAGGTAGACTGGCAACACACAGATTGGCAGCAGCTGACGATAGAAGAGCTGTGGTGTTAGCAGCTGGAGATGCAACACTGGGACCTGCAGCAACTTGACACACAGCAACTGGGGCAGAGGCAGGTCTCCTGGCAGCAGCCTTGGTCACAGCCCTGGTCAGAGCAGACGGAGCCACAACAGGAGCTGACCATGGTGTCAATGAATGGAATGAAGTTCCGTGGGTGGGTATGAGTGGGACTCCACGGGGGTGGTTTTTTGAGTTTGAATATGTCCTTAGGTGGTTTTACAATGAACGATACCCTTTCCTTGTTGTTTTTCCTACCCGGAAACCGATTCATATTATTAAGTTAAAAATTGTGTCTATCAGGTTAAATATGCCAATATGGAGGGAAAGCACCACTTCCTTTTTACAGTATTACAAGTCATTGAATCTCGTCAAGCCATGTGAAACCACTTTTGTGTTTCGCCCTCTGTCTGATGTGTCTCCTAAGTTAGAAATTCATGTGATAGTCTATTAGTGTTTACATCTGCCACCTTTTTTCCTTTTTTGTGTATGACGCCATGATAATACTTTGAAGATGGCTATTACAATGCCAAGTCTATGTTAAAGTGGAAAGATGCATGCTACTGTCAGGTGGAGCGCTGATAAGGAAACAGGAGGAAGGACTCATCATTGGGGTTACTGCGTACAATCCGAAGAGACTGATTTATTGTATATACAGTGGTGCACACATATATAGTGAAGAGTGATGTATAATATATAGTAAATAGTGATATGTAACATAGTAAATTGTATATTATGTATGTTAGTACATACATCTCTATCTCTCCAGAGTGAATCTTTCACTATTTGTTTTATTCTGTCTCTCAGTGCACCTTTTGATATTTAGGAAGGTTTGTGTGTTGTGCTAACGGTTACCTTTATATACATATCCTTATATAATGCGAAATGAATGCAAATTTTTGGCTACTGTCAATTGATTCTCTACTTTTAGAAAAATTGACATTACCTAGTTACGTCATCACCTGTCCCTTCAGCATCAGATTTGAACTGACAGTTAAGACCCACAGGCAGTTGGCAAACTTTTTCTACTTTATATATTCTCTTCACCGTTTCTCCATTTTTTTATCATTGTACTGTATCTATGTGGTCAGCACATAGCCATTCCATGCCATACTGCCCCTTTCATGTTCATCATTCATTCTTAGTTCTACAGGATGTATATAAAATGTCAGCTCCATTAGTGCAGAGTTTTGTGTGCATTGGTCCCTGCTGTTACCCCAATACCTTCATCAGTGTCTCCCACACAATAAATGCCTAATAAATACTTTTTGAACTAATGAGTGAAGAAATTAGCATTTGGAAGGATCAATGAAAGCAGACTTACTTTTCAGCGAAAACACTGGTTTTCTGCATGGAAACAACTGACAGGAGCTCCATAGTACTCTCTGATGTGGTCAGGCTGTCTGCAAATTGCCAGTTTCCACCAAACACATTGTCATATCAAGGACCTACCTCACTAGTCTAGGTTACCTGCCTGTCCCCTCAATGCATATGCATTTGAAACTTTCCTATCAAAAGAAAGAATGAGACGTGGCTGAGGTCCTGTTGTGAATAGGGGCAGAATCAGAGCACACTTGTTTTGCTGTGTGGGCAACATTATTAATAGCACGTCTGAATAGAAACTTGTAGCCTGTGCTAAACAGCACTTGGCACAGCTGTGATGGCTAGTGTGATGCATGGAGCATGTATTGTGCTCTCTTTGCCTTCATGTACATGGATGGAGTCCTCCACACTTCTAGTTTTCATTTTTTTATTCTTTTCCTAGGACAGATTCATA